TGTGGTGGCACATGCCTGTAATCCCAGCTACTCAGGAGGCTGAGGCACGACAATCACTTGAACCCAGTAGGCAGAGGTTGCAGTGAGCTGATATTGCACCACTGCACTTCAGCCTGGGTGACAGAGACTCTGTCTCAAAACAAAAAATTATGGCAGACATTTTCCCAGACAGAAATCTCTAGATCAATGTTCCCTAGGCCTGTCCCTTCAGAACTGCTTTCACAATTTTTGACAAAATCTGTATATTGTACTGGTTTTTTTTACTTAATAATTTAAGTTGACTCACTTTGAATATTATTTTTAGAAGAAACTTTTAGCATGTTAATAAATGAAAAATCATTGTCTCTTTTCATGGATGAAGGAACACTGTAAAATGAAGACCATGTGAAGAAAACAATGCTATTAAAATTGATAGTGCCTTTTTCTACCACAACTATATTAAAAAGTGATGTTCAGAGAAGTTGAACAGATATCAAGAATAAATTTGAGCAAACTTCTGCCAAGATGGCCAAATAGCAACAGCTCCGGTCTGCAGTTCCCAGCAAGAGCACGCCAGAAGACAAGTGATCTCCGCATTTCCAACTGAGGTACTAGGTTCATCTCATTGGGACTGATTAAACAGTGGGAACAGCCCAAGGAGGGCAACCCAAAGCAGGCTGGGGCCCTGCCATACCTGGGAGGCACAAGGGGCCAGAGACTCTTGCTCCCAGCCATAGGAAGCCATTAGGGACTTTTCCCGACACTCCAACACTCCAGCTCAGATACTGCACTTTTCCCACGGTCTACACAACCCATGGACCAGGAGATTCCCTCTGGCGCCTACAGTGCCAGTGCCTGGGGTTTCCAGCACAAAACTGGATGCCCATTTTAGGCAAGTGGCACCTGGAATTCCAGCAAGACAGAACCACTTCTTCCCCTGAAAAAGAGTGCTGAAGACAGGGAACCAAGCGAGCTGGCTAGGCGGGTCCTACCCACACACCCCCCACCACCAAAGATGGGCAAGCTAAGCCGCACTGCCTTGAAATTCTCACAGCGAGCACAGCAGTCTCAGCTCGGCCTGGGATGTTCAAGCTTGGTGGGGGAAGGGGTGCCCGCTTCAACATTGCCTATGTAAACAAAGCCACTACCTCTGGGAAGCTCACACAACAGCTGGGCAGAGCCCAGCACCGCAACTCAGCAAGGCCTCTGCAGCAGACTGTCAAGTAGATTCCCTTCTCACTGTGCAGGGTATCTCAGAAAAAAAAAAAAAAAAAAAAAAAAAAAAAAAAAAACGCAGCCTGTCAGGAACTTACAAAGCCCCTACCTTCCTGGGACAGAGCACCTGGGAAAAGGGACGGTTGTGGGTTTTGCTTCAGCAAACTTAAATGTCCCTGCCTAGCAGCCCTGAAGGGAAAAACAGCCCCCAGAACAGTGCTTGAGCTCTGTTAATGGACAGGCTGCCTCCTGAAGTGGCTCCCTGACCCCACATGTATCCTATCTGGGAGACACATCATACAGCAGAGCTCTGGCTGACATCTGGCAGGCACCCTTTTGGGATGAAGCTACCAGAGGAAGCAACAGGCAGCAATCTTTGCTGTTCTGCAGCCGCCATGGGTGATTCCCAGGCAAATAGAGTCTGGAGTGGACCTCCAGCAAACTCCAGCAGACTTGCAGCAGAGGGGCCTGACTGTTAAAAGGAAAACAAATAAACAGAAACAAATAGGTTCAACATCAACAGAAAGGACGCCCACTCAGAAAAGCCATCAAAAAGTCACCAACTTCAAAAACCAAAGATAGATAAATCCATGAAGATGGGAAGGAGCCAGTGCAAATAGGCTGAAATCGCCAAAATTCAGAACACCTCTTCTCCTCCAAGGGACCACAACCCCTCCCCAGCAAGGGAACAAAACTGGATGGAGAACGAGTGTGACAAATTAACAGAAGCAGGCTTCAGAAGGTGGGTAATAACAAACTTCTCCAAGCTAAAGGAGCATGTTCCAATCCAATGAAAGGAAACTAAAAAACTTGAAAAAAGGTTAGATGAAATGTTAACAAGAATAACCAGCATGGAAAAGCACATAAACAACATGATGAAGCTGAAAAATACAGCACGAGAACTCCATGAAGCATACAAAAGTTTCAATAGCCAAATAGATCAAGCAGAAGAAAGGATATCAGAGATTGAAGATCAACTCAATGAAATATAGCGGGAAGGAAAGATTAGAGAAAAAAAGAGTGAAAAGAAATTAACAAAGCCTCCAAGAAATATGGGATTACAT